TTCCTAGATGTTCCTTTTTGTATATTAATTGTATTTGTTTGAGAATGTACACTGAGCATCTTACTGGTTTCATTTTCTTACAGTTGCTGATGGACACGTTGTTTTAACTGACCCTCCTGCAACAGCACAGCCTGCCACATTTGTAAGTGATTATTGTCTTCAGGTATTGTTCGTGCCTGCTAGACCAAACATCATTAGTAATTTGCACTGCAGGATGAAGATGATAAGTCACTTCTGCTGTGACTTGGGTAGAAACTGAAGAAGCTAGGAGGCCCACAGAGGTATAATGCACACAATGCATTCCCTTTTTTTTTTTTTTTTTTTTAAAACATAAGATGATGTGTGATATTAAAATTTTGTCATTGTCCCCTTTAAAGATTATGGCTAGGGATTCCTATACAGAGGAGGGTCGATCTAACTCCACACAGAATCTTGGCAGTGTGAGAAATTGTTTACAGTTGTCCCGATTAAAAATAAGTGGTCTGTGTATGTATTAGTCATTTATGATATCAATCATATTGAATTATAATTCCTCCTAGCTGCCTGTATAAGGTCCATCTTAATAGGCAAATTAGAAAAAGGGACATGGACATTATACAACTTAAAATAGAGGGGGGGAAAAAAAGCTGAATGTAAAAAAAAAAAAAAACCCACTAGACTTGAAATTGAATTGCTGGAGTACTGGCTAAAGGTGGGCACTGTATTTGCCTAGTGATGATTATTCTGTCATTTATTGTTGAATGGTAAAGCAATAAATACAAATGTATTTTTCAATTACAGGAAATAAAGAAACAATTACCCATACTTGACTGTTCACTTTGTGCTTTAGTCATTTAATTAGAAGTGATTTTGGCAGATCACAGCCCGTACCACCCTACCATCTCTTTGGTCCACTGGGTTCACTGGGGGTTCCACTTGACCATCTTTATCAAGATTAGCAGGGCTCTCTCACCTCTTATTTTGGCGACGTTGTGAAGTACAACACATGCCCCTGTTATGTCGCATACCCTTTCTGGACTGACACTGAGCCCACGCAGGCACTTCACAATTCCACTCGTCATCTCCACCTTGGCCTGTGTTCTACTGTGGGCCAGGTTAAATCATGCCTGTGGTCCAGGCTTAGGTTCAGGGTAGGCAGTTATCATTATAGAGCAGACAGGGGTACCTTATGTCTCCCAGCAAGTAACCACTGAAGTTTCCTGTAATGATGGGGCAATATATTTATGTATACTTGGTTAAAACAATCTAGGATTTTTTTAAAAATGTATCGTGTAAGGAAAAACATACCCTGTTCAAATTTATGGCACAACGATGACTCCCGAAATATTCTGGCATCACGTACAGTTCCACGTTGGTGATGAGGTGGGATGCATAATGTATTACCTAGTTAAATGAGTTAGATGGCATTTACTTCCTTAAACCTTGATTTAGCACCCAATATTCTACTGTTACCTGCACACTGATGCTATGGAATGACTTCCTATTAACATAGTCTCCTTCATTGACTGAAGGAGCTTTAATAGGAATGTAGGTAACATCAATGCATCCAATAACATTTGGGAACCCTGATATTGAAAGTTAGATAAGTTATTGTCTGTGTACATATGTATGCATAGATGAAGTAGTGCTATATGCAGCTAAAAAGGTCTCTCATAAATATCATAGAACGGATGAACCCGCTACTCTCTACAACTCTTCTTTAATGAGTCTCACAAGTGTATAGGAAAAGTGTGTAGGAACTGTGAGTGCAAGGCATATTGTACGAATGGCCGTACACACAGTTGCCTTTCCCTACATGGTCTGCATCGCCGACGACGCCAACTCCCTGTGGTGAAAAAATGAAGGGCAGTGCATAAAATGTGTTCAGTTTTATGTGCTGATCCACAATGTGTCACACTGGAGATGGAAGGTTTCAAAAGGTTTGTTAAATGAATTAATGATTCTCGTGAAAACCAGTAATGCTATGCAAATATTCATCCGGATATAACACATCTATACATGGTCTTATCACCATCTCGTGAAAAAGATTTTGTATAATCTGTGCCTTCATGTCTACTGGACATTCTTCAAAAGGGCACACCATGCTCTGTCAGCTCTCTGAAACAAACTAATCGTAGAACATAACCTGCTCCGGAGCAGGTTGAGTTCAGAGACTAAGTTGTTAGGTCTACTTAGATACCCTGAAAGTTACCCCATTTTTGGAACTGAAAGTTGAAGTTATCCATTTACTCTGAGTAAACTTACCCAGGTAAGTCACATAACCTGCTTTCCGAAATACCCCCCTGCCCCCGGCGTGATGGCCTGTTTGTTTTATTTGTTGTTTATTGTCTATTGTCATATGGTGACTGTACTATTTATTACATATTTCTTTTAATATACTTTTTGGTGGAAATCTGTTTTGGGGGTTGTTTTGGTTTTCTCTAGTCTCCTCACTCACCCAGTGACCTTCATACTCTAGACTGACACCTAACAATGTCTTGAAACATCTGAAACACCTGACTTCAATTACTCCTTTAAATTAACTTATATTCCTAGAGGCTCACATAATTTTTTCCAACAAAGACACTTACTTAATGTTTTTTGCTCAGTAAATAAATGTAAAAATTATAATGTTTTGGGTTCTCTTTTGCTAGTTTTAGATCTTAAGGTGAAGCTCTGATCACATTTTAGGTCATATTTATGCAAAAAATAGAGAGAATTGTAAAAGGTTCACAAACTTTCTAGCAGCATTTTGTGGATGGTACAACTCAGATACCCTAAAGATAATTGTGAATGTTCTCACTTGGACAGCCTAATGAATGCACTTGCTAAAAACTATGCTCAAGCCTCATTCATTTTAATAACTTAACCTGATATTATAGACTTAAAGCTAAAATTCTACTACTAAGAGGACACGTTCTCTTTTGAGCCTGGTTTCTCTCAAGCTTTTTTTTGTGTCACTGTCGCCTCTGGCTTACTCATTAGGGATAAATCTATACTTATCTGTAAAGCTGACCATTGTTAAAAGCGCTATATAAATAAAATTTAATTTAATTGACTTAGAGAAAATTCCAGAAGATGGGAGAAATTGAGGAATAAAGGTTATCTGTGTATATACATATTTTAAGAGCTTAGTAAATGGTCAGTCAGTTTTACATTTTATAGTTTCATTTGTATTTTATTGTTTTGGGAAATGAGGAATAAAACTACAAGCAAAAAAACAGCTGACCATGCGGAATTACCTGTTTCTTTCTTTAAATCAGTAAATAGCCTTAAATTACTCTCCTTTTGCAAGAGATATCAAGGCTATAAAGGGGGAATAGGCTGGCTGGAGCCACCTGGCCAGAGTCTATCTGAGGTGGAATAGGCAAGCCAGAGTCCATCAAGGTGGAATAGGGAGGCCACCTCCTGCTTTCTAGGTCTCCCACATAGATACAGAGGCCTCCAACAAAGGTACCAGAGTTTGTGACACTATTGCTTATTGCTCTGACTTTTCCACATTCAGTGTGTACAAGCTTTTGAAGTGGTGTATTGGGGTAGAATCTGGCAGGAGTGTATTATGGCAGAATAGGCTGCCTTGAGCCACCTTGTCCAGGGCCAGTTTTCTAGATGGTATTCAGACTTCAGCTGTAACTGCAATTAAGTGCTGTTCAGATGTTGTGCTTACTTACAAGCTACTGGCAGCAGAAAGAGCAACAGTGCACATCAATTTTAATCTGTTTATACAACTCCAGCCATCAAGTCGGTTGAGTAGGCAAATTTAGTGTTTTTTTTTTTTTTTTTTTTTTTTGCTTTGAGAGTGAGACAAGTGAGAACTGTTTAATAATTAATAGAACAATGCATGAATTATTTCTGAAAAATGACATACAGACCGCATCAGGTTCCACTCCTGTCATGGGCACTGTTTCACACAAATTGGATAGTTGGAGATTAGGGGGGAAAAAATCACCTGGTCTTTTTCCAGTCTTCAGCTGTCCAGTTCAGCTGACAGCCTCAGATTCTTGTTTTTGGCTGACAAGAGTGGAACCTGATGTGGTCTTCTATTGTTGTAGTCCATCCACATCCAATTACCTTCAATTTTATACAGGTGCTCACACCACAAGTACCCATATGGTGTAGTTCATTACAGTAACTATAGACTAACTGTGACAACAAGAATAGGCTTAAATGCACCAAATTTTTGTCTAATTTTACTAATCTAATAAACCTGCTGTAAGCTACATTGGCACGCCACATTGGGATGGGGCCAGAGCATATTACAACATTGGACATCGCCTTCGCTAATTTACACACCTCTACAATGTTATTCTTGGTAACCTCTGACTGACAAAGGCATAAATCATTAGTTCGTACATGAATAACTATGTTTGAAAACCTATGCTTGCCTAAGACCCTAGGATTACCTGCTATGTCTGGCACCCTGGCCCCCAGTATACACCTAACTAAAGCTGCTGGTGCCCCTAAAGGCCTAGCTAATTTCACGTACCTTAAGATAGTCTTAACGTTAGCTTTGGCTTTGTGATTATGCCGCCGAGTCGTCACCCAAAGTCCAAAGTTAAAGTCCATTACAACCTTGAATGATTTCAATACGTTCTTCTTTTGTCAAAGGCATTTTAAAGGCTATCTGAAAAATATATAATATACACTAAGTATGAAAAATTTTGCAAGACATTTTGCAAAAAGTGTTAATTTCCCCTATGTATGGAGACTTTTGGGACACCGGGACCCAAACATACTGCCAACACAACAATGGACTTCATCAGGGGAAAATGTGGAAAGTTTTGGACTGGCCAAGTTAACCCAACTGAGCATCCATTTCTCCTCCTGAAGAGGAGACTAAAGGGAGAAACCCTCCAAAACAAATAACACCTGAAAGCAGCTGTGCTACAAGCCTGGAAAAGTACCAGAAAGAAGAATTCAACAGTTTGTTGATGTCAGTGGTTTGCCAGCTTGATGCCATTATTGCAAAGAAAGGATATGCAACCAAATATTAAGTGTTATTTACTTTAATTTACTTCGGGTCCCTGGAGGACTAGTGGTTAGGCCACAGCACTCTCATCACTGAGGCCTGGGTTTGATTCCCGGCCAGGAAACTAACCCCAGCCATTGGGGTTGCACGCAGCAGTGTGCTCTCTAGAGAGGATTGCATCAGGAAGTGCCAAATCTAATACGTGGACCAATGATCCACTGTGGTGACCCCTAACAGGAGCAGCCAAAAAAGGAACAACATTTACTTTAAGACTATCTGTTTCAATAATTTTGCTAACCTAAAAATTGGATGGCTTGCCATGAAAGGTGTCATGTTCTAAGTTGCTTAACACATCTAGATGTAAATATCAGGAAATGAAAGCTGAAATTCGGATCCATCTTCTCATATTCATCTTTTCATCTCAAACTCAAATGTCTTCGATGTATAGCAATATAAATCGTCTACTGTCAGGACACAGTACACATGTACCAACTGCAAGGTGTAGATTTGCCCCCCCCACACACACACACACACACACAAAGTGAAAATGATTTGTCTTTACATTCTTTTTGTTTATTTTACACAGATGAAGCAGTGAGGTTTATGGCAGTCAGGCAGGGCAGCAGCTTTCAGCAGGTAGTCTAGATTTTAAAATGAGGTTATTGCTAAACATTTTTATATTGTAATCTATAGAGTGTTGTACTGTTTCAACATTAACACAGAAATTAATCTGGTTCATGTATTTACTAATGTAAGCATAGAATATTGCTAGCAATATTTCACACAAAAGGTTATACTTGGATGATCTGTCAAAGTATATTGACAGCCAACAGTGTATATTTTGTCTGATTTAAAATAGAGTATTTTATTTATTTATTTATTTTTAAACCATTCAGACAAACCCAGGGACAGTGTTTTCAACATGACTGTTAAAAGAACACACTTTGAGGGAAGATAAGGTGTGTTGTAGGGAAAGTGGTGGCTTAGCAGACCTTTCAAGGTAGCTGAGTGTAGTAACATCAATCTGACAAAATCCAACATAGGGAGGGGAGTCCAATTAAGTCCAATTAATTTCCTTGATGAATTCACACTGTTATTCTTAGACATCAGCTAATCCTGATATTCACTCATAAGGTTTGCTGTGACTAAACCATGAAGGCACCAATATGAAAATATTTCAAGGCATTTTTTTGCCAGCTTGAAAAAAATCGAGTGAGGCCTCTGGGGGCTGAGCCCTTCATACCTTAAATCTCTAGAAATGCCCCTGCTAGAGCACAGGAGCCCAAACTAGGGCTTGAAACCCCACATGGGGTCGCATGATTTACAAATGGGGTCACGAGAGAAACTCACAATCTCTCTTTTTTGTCATGTTTGTTTATTTTACAAATGAATTGGAAATATCAAAGACAGATTTTGTGTGCTAATATTTTGAAATGTTACTGGGAGTCACATTTCTAGGCCACCAGTAGAGGTACCAAGGCCTGTATTGGTGATGCTGTTACTGTTTCCTCTGTCTTTGCAAGATAAACAATAAAATGAACAACCACTTATTTGCACTGTCTTGCTCTGATTGCATTTTTAAACTCTGTTCCACTGCTCGTCTTGTGACTATTTATAACCTTTACAACAAGGGGATTTCTTCCCTCATTTCCTGAACTGTCATAAATTCTCCCCCATTCCAACCTCTTCCACTATTTTCAAACAGTTGGATGAGCAGTTGGAACACATACTTGACTTGGTTCACACCTCCTCTATATGTGGTAGACATGGTCTCATGCCATGTAAGAAACTATACATTCCATCTGAACAGCACAGACTAACAAAGATTTACCCAGACAGAAGTCAAGTCAAATTTTATTTATATGCACATTTAAAGACAATAGTAGTTGATCCAAAGTGCTCTCCATAACATCATTACAGTAATAGTAGACAGAAGTGCCACCTGTAATGCCAGCTGATCTAGTCCACGTTTTGGTCTGTCCAACACTAACTGAACTTTGGTCCAAGATATTTTTATATTTTTGCCCAATTAGTAGCACTCAGTGCATTCAGGCACACTCGGCAAAAACACATCCCTAGGTAATATAATTTTTATAACAGACCATAATCAGATGTTCATACATTCTTTTCAATTCCAGTCTGCTTTCTAATTTAGCGAATTCACTCTCTCAAAACTTGACATGAAGGCCCCTATATTTTCATAATACTGCCACTGTCTTCATGCAATGCATTTGTCCTGACTGTGTCCAACACAGGTAAATTGTTTGCTTGGGTCACCACTCAGTCCAAAATAACCAATACCCTTATTTCTATTGTACCCTTACTACACTGCGAATTACGAACCTAACCTAAATATGACACTATACAACAATCAGCCATAACATTAAAACCACCTGCCTAATATTGTGTAGGTCCTCCTTATGCTGCCAAAACAGCTCTGACCCATCAAGGCATGGATTCCACAAGACCTCTGAGGGTGTGCTGTGGTATCTGGCACCAAGATATTAGCAGCAGATCCTGTAAGTTACAAGGTGGATCAGACGTGTTTGTCCAGCACATCCCACAGATGCTTGATTGGATTGAGATCTGGGGATTTTGGAGACCAAGTCAACTCATGTTCCTCAAACCATTCCTGAACAATTTTTGCAGTGTGGCACGGCGCATTATCCTGCTGAACAAGGTCACTGCCATTAGGGAATACCGTTGCCATGAAGGGGTGTACTGGTCTGCAACAATGTATAGGTAGGTAGTACATGTCAAAGTAACAGCCACATGAATGCCAGGACCCAAGGTTCCCAGCAGAACATTGCCCAGAGCATCAGCCAGCTTGCCTTCTTCCCATAGTGCATCCTGGTGCCATCTCTTCCCCAAGTAAGTGGGGCACACACACCTGGCTGTCCACATGATGTAAAAGAAAACGTGATTCATCAGACCAGGCCACCTTCTTCCATTGCTCCACGGTCCAGTTCTAACATTCACATTTTGGAGATGCTCTGACCCAGTCATTTATTCATCACAATTTGGCCCTTGTCAAAGTGACTCAGATTCTTACACTTGCCCATTTTTGTTCCAACACATCGACTTTGAGAACTGACTGTTCAGTTGCTGCCTAATATATCCCACCCTTTGACAGGTGCCATTGTAACAAGATAATCAAATGTTATTCACTTCATCAGTCAGTGGTTTTAATGTTATGGCTGATTGATCTGGAAGGATAGTTTATTTATTTGGCTTAAAAAGATGAATTAGCTCTGAACTGGCTCTATAAGATTAATTGTGAATAAACCTCAACACTGCAACATGTACATACCATTTCTGTGGAAAGTACAACAGAGAAAACTGACACACCACTCTGAAATTCCCTGAAATAAGTTACACATTGAAGTACTGTTTATTTTCTATACTGGATGTGCATACATTGTTTATCTAAAGGGGAGGCTTTAGGCCTTTCTACAATTATTAGATTAAAGGACAGTAGTCATTACACTTGTCACATAACACATGACACCTACTGGTCACTACTGAACACAACTCATTCAGGAACTTGTACAAAGTGCTCAGCAATCCACTAAATTTCCCTTTAAAAATTTTTTTTAAATAATTAATTTAACCATCATTAAATGGCTACTACCCCACACTATTGCAGAGCCATTGTGCAGTTTTAGCAACTGTGCAAAAATGAGAAACAAATTAATGAATGCTTTAAAATTTATTAAACATTTATAATCAACAGGTATATGGAATGTCAGACATTTAAGATTTAAACAGCAAAAATTAACATTAGTTGCCCCCACGAAGACGGAGAACAAGATGGAGAGTGGACTCCTTCTGAATGTTGTAGTCTGAAAGCGTGCGGCCATCTTCCAGCTGTTTACCAGCAAAGATCAAACGCTGTTGGTCAGGGGGAATGCCTTCTTTGTCCTGAATTTTGGCCTTCACATTCTCAATAGTGTCACTGGGCTCCACCTCCAGGGTGATGGTCTTTCCAGTCAAGGTTTTTACAAAAATCTGCATGCCTCCTCTGAGACGCAGGACAAGATGGAGAGTGGATTCCTTTTGGATGTTGTAGTCAGAGAGGGTGCGGCCATCTTCCAGCTGCTTTCCAGCAAAGATAAGCCGCTGTTGGTCAGGGGGAATGCCTTCTTTATCCTGAATTTTGGCTTTGACATTTTCAATGGTATCACTAGGCTCCACCTCCAGGGTGATGGTCTTGCCAGTCAAAGTCTTCACAAAGATCTGCATCTTTATGCTGGAACAATTGAGATAGGGAAATTAGCAAGCTGCTGAAAATCAAATACAAGAATAAATAAATAAAAACATATACACACACATACACACACAGTTATAGACAGATAGCGAGAGAGAGAGTGTCAAATTTTCAAAAGACGTAAAAGTAAAAAACGAACAAATCATGCATCACATTGCATTTTTATGTATGGTGCAGAAAATGCAATACAATCTTTGTTTAAATAAAATAAGTGTTTAGTTTTATTGTTTCTTGTGGACCGTATGTAAACATTTGTTATATGACATAGCTTATTCAGGGCAGTATGAAAAAATAAAATGCAATTTTTATGAACCCTCATTTCTTTTTTTTTTTTTAATCATTAACATTTTGCAGATTCTGCAAGACATATGTAAACTTATGACGCCAACTTATTTCTATTTCTATCTCTCTCTCTCACACACACACACAAATATATATATTTCATTAATAAACTGCTGATAGCTGTCTTCTAAATGCTTTTTTTTTCCCCCACACAAACTGCATTAATTGTACTTCGAATTAAGTCCAAACTACACATTCATTTTTCTATTCGTCAATCACAGCGTAAAACTATAATACACATTTTATATTTTATATGCGCCGAATACCGCCGCAAGATGGCGAACCTCGCTCAGCCATTGACGTATTTGGTAAAACGGGACTATAGTGGGAATACGGCATCTGACTTCATCCCCAACAGCCATTACAAGTACCAGAAATATCATGGCCTAACAAGTGCCTAACAACTGATTTACGTAGAATATTTACCCGGCAGTTACAATATTTTAATATGACTAGAAAACACAAGAAAGTCATGTAAAATCAAGTAAATAAACAAAAATGGATATTTCACTCAT